CACATAGGTACCAACGACATAGGTAGGAAAGGGGATGGGGATGTAAGGCAGAAATTCAAGGAGCTAGGGTGGAAGCTTAGAGCGAGAACAAACAGAGTTGTTATCTCTGGTTTGTTACCCGTGCCACGTGCTAGCGAGGCAAGGAATAGGGAGAGAGAGCAGTTGAACACGTGGCTACAGGGATGGTGCAGGAGGGAGGGATTCAGATACCTGGATAATTGGGGCTCATTCTGGGGTAGGTGGGACCTCTACAAACGGGATGGTCTACACCTGAACCAGAGGGATACCAATATCCTGGGGGGGAAATTTGCTAATGCTCTTCGGGAGGGTTTAAACTAATTCAACAGGGGGATGGGAACCTGAATTGTAGCTCCAGTGTACAGGAGGTTGAGAGTAGTGAGGTCATAACTAAGGTTTCAAGGTCGCAGGAGTGTACCGGCAGGCAGGAAGGTGGTTTGAAGTGTGTCTACTTCAATGCCAGGAGCATCCGGAATAAGGTGGGTGAACTTGCAGCATGGGTTGGTACCTGGGACTTCGATGTTGTGGCCATTTCAGAGACATGGATAGAGCAGGGACAGGAATGGTTGTTGCAGGTTCCAGGGTTTAGATGTTTCAGTAAGATCAGGGAAGGTGGTAAAAGAGGGGGAGGTGTGGCATTGTTAGTCAAGGACAGTGGCAGAAAGGACGTTTGATGACAACTCGTCTACTGAGGTAGTATGGGCTGAGGTTAGAACCAGGAAAGGAGAGGTCACCCTGTTGGGAGTTTTCTATAGGCCTCCAAAAAGTTCCAGAGATGCAGAGGAAAAGATTGCAAAGATGATTCTGGATAGGAGCAAGAGTAACAGGGTAGTTGTTATGGGGGACTTTAACTTTCCAAATATTGACTGGAAACGCTATAGTTCGAGTACTTCAGATGGGTCAGTTTTTGTCCAATGTGTGCAGGAGGGTTTCCTGACACAGTATGTAGATAGGCCAACAAGCGGCGAGGCCACATTGGATTTGGTACTGGGTAATGAACCAGGCCAGGTGTTAGATTTGGAGGTGGGTGAGCACTTTGGTGATAGTGACCACAATTCGCTTACGTTTACTTTAGCGATGGGAAGGGATTGGTATATACTGCAGGGCAAGAGTTATAGCTGGGGGAAAGGCAATTATGAGGCGATGAGGCAAGATTTAGGATGTACAGGATGGAGAAGGAAACTGCAGGGGCTGGGCACAATTGAAATGTGGAGCTTGTTCAACGAACAGCTACCGCGTGTCCTTGAGAAGTATATACCTGTCAGGCAGGGAGGAAGTGGTCGAGCGAGGGAACCGTGGTTTACTAAAGAAGTTGAATCTCTTGTCAAGAGGAAGAAGGAGGCTTATGTAGAGATGAGGCGTGAAGGCTCAGTTAGGGCGCTTGAGAGTTACAAGTTAGCCAGGAAGGACCTAAAGAGAGAGCTAAGAAGAGCCAGGAGGGGACATGAGAAGTCTTTAGCAGGTAGGATCAAGGAAAACCCTAAAGCTTTCTATAGATATGTCAGGAATAAAAGAATGACTAGAGTAAGATTCGGGCTGGTCAAGGACAGTAGTGGGAAGTTGTGCGTGGAGTCCGAAGAGATAGGAGAGGTGCTAAATGAATCTTTTTCGTCAGTATTCACACAGGAAAAAGACAATGTAGTTAAGGAGAATACTGAGATACAGTCTATTAGACTAGACGGGATTGAGGTTCATAAGGAGGAGGTGTTAGCAATTCTGGAAGGTGTGAAAATAGATAAGTCCCCTGGGCCGGATGGGATTTATCCTAGGATTTTCTGGGAAGCTAGAGAGGAGACTGCAGAGCCTTTGGCTTTGATCTTTATGTCGTCATTGTCTTCAGGAATAGTGCCAGAAGACTGGAGACTAGCAAATGTTGTCCCCTTGTTCAAGAAGGGGAGTAGAGACAACCCTGGTAATTATAGACCAGTGAGCCTTACTTCGGTTGTGGGTAAAGTGTTGGAAAGGATTATAAGAGATAGGATTTATAATCATCTAGAAAGGAATAATTTGATTAGGGATAGTCAACACGGTTTTGTGAAAGGTAGGTCGTGCCTCACAAACCTTATTGAGTTCTTTGAGAAGGTGACCAAACAGGTGGATGAGGGTAAAGCAGTTGATGTGGTGTATTTGGATTTCAGTAAAGCATTTGATAAGGTTCCCCATGGTCGGCTATTGCAGAAAATACGGAGGCATGGGATTGAGGGTGATTTAGCGGTTTGGATCAGAAATTGGCTAGCTGTAAGAAGACAGAGGGTGGTGGTTGATGGGAAATGTTCATCCTGGAGTTCAGTTACTAGTGGTGTACCTCAAGGATCTGTTTTGGGGCCACTGCTGTTTGTCATTTTTATAAATGACCTGGATGAGGGCGTAGAAGGATGGGTTAGTAAATTTGCAGATGACACCAAAGTCGGTGGAGTTGTGGATAGTGCGGAAGGATGTTGCAGGTTACAGAGGGACATAGATAAGCTGCAGAGCTGGGCTGAGAGGTGGCAAATGGAGTTTAATGCGGAAAAGTGTGAGGTGATTCACTTTGGAAGGAGAACAGGAATACAGAGTACTGGGCTAATGGTAAGATTCTTGGTAGTGTGGATGAGCAGTAGGATCTCGGTGTCCATGTGCATAGATCACTGAAAGTTGCCACCCAGGTTGATAGCGTTGTTCAGAAGGCATACAGTATGTTAGGTTTTATTGGTAGAGGGATTGAATTTGAGCCATGAGGTCATGCCGCACTTGGAGTATTGCGTACAGTTCTGGTCACCGCATTATAGGAAGGATGTGGAAGCATTGGAAAGGGTGCAGAGAAGATTTACCAGGATGTTGCCTGGTATGGAGGGAAGGTCTTATGAGGAAAGGCTGAGGGTCTTGAGGCTGTTTTCGTTAGAGAGAAGAAGGTTAAGAGGTGACTTGATAGAGACATACAAGATGATCAGAGGATTAGATAGGGTGGACAGTGGGAGCCTTTTTCCTCGGATGGTGATGGCTGGCACGAGGGGACATAGCTTTAAATTGAGGGGTGTTAGATATAGGACAGATGTCAGAGGTAGGTTCTTTACTCAGAGAGTAGTAAGGGCGTGGAATGCCCTGCCTGCAAAAATAGTAGACTCGCCAACTTTAAGGGCATTTAAATGGTCATTGGATAAACATATGGATGATAATGGAATAGTTTGATTGGTTTCACAGGTCGGTGCAACATCAAGGGCCGAAGGGCCTGTACTACGCTGTAATGTTCTATGTTCTATGTTCTAAGCAATTATTTCTATGTTAATATCCGTGTTAACCAATTATTATATCTTAATTGAGTATATTTTGCTTTTATAATGAACTCATAATCATGTTTATTAAGAAATTTGTGTTGATTGATCTTTTGTGGCAAGGTATTTGGCAAGGTATTGGTTGTATAAAAGTGAAATCTCTCAAGTGATGGCAATTTAGATGGAGGCAGGACTTCGATTTATCAAATAAACCTTCACTTTAATTTATATTTCAATTTTAACTACCTTAAAGTAGGCCAATGCATTTTATTATTTATTTATTTTCTATATTTAATGGAATGTGGGCGTCATTGATAAGGCCGGCATTTTTTGCCCATCCCTACTTGCCTGTGAACTGAGTGCCCTCCTCAACCATTTCAGAGGGTTGTCAACTCGTCAACCACATTGCTATGGGTCTGGAGTCACGCATAGGCCAGACCAAGTAAAGAAGGCAGATTTCCATCCCTAAAGGACATTAGTGAAATAGATATATTTTTATGGCAATTGATAACAGTTTCACGGTCACCTCAACTTCAGATTCTACTTAGTTGAATTGAAATTCCACCAGCCACCACAATGGCATTGGAATCCTTGCATGTTATTTCGCTTAGTTGCTGGATAACTGATTTGCAATTCAGAGTGACACCAATGGTACAAGTTCAGTTCTGGCACTGGCTAAGGACACAACGAAGTCCTTGCCTTCTTAATCTTAGGTGTGGTGACCCTCAGGTCAAATTTACCCTCAAACGAATTTTTAGAAAATCATTCATGCGTTGTGGGTGTCCCTGGCTGAGACAGCATTTATTACCCATCCCTAGTTGCCCTTGAATGTGTGGTTGAACAGCTGTAGTCCATATGATGCAATGTGCTAACACCGACAACGTTCTGCTGGGATCGGTGCAGGGACCCCTGTTGTTTGTGACGTATATGATTTGGAGGAGAATTAGGTAATCTGATTAGTAAGTTTGGAGAAGACACAAAGAACTGGGGAGCTACGGATAGTGAAGAGGATTACCAGATGACACAGCAGGACATAGATGGACTGGAGGCTTGGGCGGAGACGTGGCAGATGGAATTCATTCTAGACAAATGCAAAGTGATGTGTTTTGGAAGGCCTAATGGAGGAGGGAAGGATACAGTAAATGACAGAACTCTTAGAAGCATTAACATACAGTGGGATCTAGGTGTACAGGCCCACAGTTCCCTGAAAGTGGCAACACAAGTGGATAAGGCAGTAAAGAAGGCATATGTTATGCCTGCTTTCATCACTTAGTGTATAAAATATAAAAATTGGCAGGTTATATTGCAGTTCTATAGAACATTAGTAAGGCCACATTTGGAATATTGTGTACTGTTCTGGACACACACTACCAGAAGGACGTGGAGGCTTTGGAGAGAGTGCAGAAAAGGTTTAAAAGGATGTTGCTTCGTTTGGAGGGAGTGAGGAAAAACTGGACAAACTTAGTTTGTTTTGACTTGAACTTCAGAGGCTGAGTTGCGGCCTAATAGAGAGTTACAAAATTAAGGGAGGTCTGGATAGAAAGCATAGCCGGAGTCTTTTTCCCAGGGTAGAAACGTCTATGCCACAATGATACTGGGGAGGGAGTTCCAGGACTCTGATCTAATGACATGGAAGGAATGGCAATATATATGTACTGTCACACAATAATGCATTTTGTAGTCACTGTCTGGTACCTCACACTGTGTTTGTTTTTTTTCTCTTCTTTGCAGGCTTCCTAAGCACAGGTGATCAAGCTGCCAAAGGGAATTATGGATTGTTGGACCAAATTCAAGCATTAAGGTGGATCAGTGAAAATATTGGAGCTTTTGGAGGGGATTCAATGCGGATTACAGTCTTTGGGTCTGGTGCGGGAGCGTCCTGTGTCAGCTTGCTGACGCTATCCCACTATTCAGAAGGTAAGAACATCAAGACAGATTGGAACATGCCAGCAGACAGACAAAGGGCCTACATCTGCTCCTATGCCTTATGATGTAAGGAGCAGAAATAGGCCATTCAACCCCTTAAGCCTACAGTGCCAGTCAGTAAGTTCATAGCTGATCTAATTGTAACCGGCTAATTCATACTCCTGTTTATCCTGGATGATCTTTCATCCTCTTACTTAACAAAAACCTATCTACCTTTGACTTAAAAACATTGAAAAGTTCTGCTTCCACTGATGTTTCAGGAAGAGTGTTCCAAAGGGTCAATCTTAAATGAGAATACATTGCCTCATCTCCATTTTAAATGGGTGACTCCTATTTGTAAACGTTAGCCCTAGGTTCTCGATTCTTTCCAAAGAAGAAACATTCTCTCCACATCTGTTCTGTCAAGATGCCTCAGGATTTTATATGTTTCAATCAAGTTATCTCTTACTCCAGCAGATACAACCAATTTTCCTCATCAGACAATCCACCCATTCCAGATATTGGTCTTGTAAATTTTATTTGAACTGCGTCCCATACGTTACATCCTTCCGTAAATGATGAGACCGTAATGAGGGCAGAGCAATGGATGTTGTCTACATGGACTTCAGCAAAGCCTTTGATAAGGTCCCTCATGACAGACTGATATGAAAGGTGGCATCACAGGGAATCTGTAGTGAGCTGGTAAAATGGATATAGAAGACAGAGAGTAATGGTGGAAGAGTGTTTTCTGACTGGAGACCTGTGACCAGTGATGTTCCACAGGGATCAGTTCTGGGACCCCTATTGTTTATAATATATATAAATAATCTGAACGAGAATAAAGGTGGTCTGATTAATACATTTGCGGAAGACACAAAGATTGGGGGAGCTAAACTATCGTCAGATACTTTAGAGACTTTTAAGCAACTCTTGGATAGGCACATGGAGGATAGTAAAATGTGGGGTTTGCAGGGTAGATTGATTTTAGTAGGATAATAGGTCGGTACAACATCGAGGGCTGAAGGGCCTTTACTGTGCTATACTGTTCTATGTTCTATGTTCTATGTTCTATTTTCTATGGATAGTTACGAGGATTGCCAAAGGATATAGGTAGGCTGGAGACTTGGGTGGAACAATGGCAGATGGAATTTAATCTGGACAAATGCTAGGTGATGCATTTTGGCAGGTCTAATGCAGGAGGGAAGTATAAAGTGAATGGCATAACCCTCAGAAGCATTAACAAACAGGAGGATTTAGGCATTCAGGTCCACAGTTCCCTGAAAGTGGCAACACCAGTGGTGTCAAGAGGGCATATGGCGTGTTTGCTTTCATTAGTCAGTGCATAGAGTAGTAAAAATTAGCAAGTCATGTTGCAGTTGTATAGAACTTTAATTAGGCCACATTTGGTATATTGTATACAGTTCTGGTTGCCACTCTACCAGAAGTTTGCAGAGGCTTTGGAAGGGGCACAGAAAATGTTTAGAAGGATGTTGCCTGGTTTAGAGGGTAGTAGCTATGAGGAGAGATTGTACAAACTTAGTTTGTTTTCTCTTGAACTTTAGAAGCTGAGGGGTGATTAGATAGAAGTTAACTAAGTTATGAGAGGCATGGATAAAATGGATAGTCAGAATCTTTTTCCCAGAGTAGAAATGTCAATTACTAGAGGACGTGGATTTAAAGTGAAAGGGGGGAACGCTTAAAGGAGATGTGAGAGGCAAGTAATTTATGCAGAAGGTACCAAGTGCCTGGAATGCGCTGCCAGAGGAAATGGTAGGGGTGGGTACAATAGCAACATTTAAGAGATATCTTGACCGATACATGAATAGGCAGAGATTAGAGTGTTACAGACCGCGTGGAGGCAAAAGGGTTTTAATTTAGAAAATCGTCATGTGTTGACATAGACTTGGTGGGCCGAATGGCCTGTTCCTGTCCTGTACTGTTATTTGTTCTTTGTAATACTGTAAGCAGTACTAAAGATGCAGCCTTGCCAGTGCGTTGTATAACTGAAGCATAATCTCCCTTTTAAATAAAAGTCGAAAAATTCAGGATGCTGAAAAATCAGAAACAAAGTTCCGAGGAAGGGTCACTGGACCCGAAATGATAACTCTGATTTCTCTGCACAGATGCGGCCAGACCTGATGAGCTTTTCCAGCAATTTCTGTTTGTGTTCATAATCTCTGTACTGTTGTACTCAACTCCCCTCACAATAAATATAACATTCTATTAGCTTTACTGATTACATGTTGTATCTGCATACTAACTGTTTTGACTATGACGTTAAGACACCCAAATCCCTCAGGATCTCAGAACTCAGCAATCTCTCGTCATTTAAGTTATATGCTTCTTTTGTATTCTTCTTGATAAAATGGACAAATTCCCACCTCCCATATTATATTGCATTTGCCACATCTTTGCCTGCAACACAAAACTGGTCTATATTATTTTATAACTTCCTCATCTCCTGTGCAAACTTACTTTCCAATCTATCTTTGCGTCTTCAGCATATTTTGCAAAAATTCTGTCCCTTCCTCCAAAAGTCATTTAAGTAAATTCCAAAGAGATGAGGTCTCAGCACTGGCACACAATTCAGTAACAGCTTAACAACTGGATAAAAAGACCCATTTACTCTACTCTCTGCTTTTTGTAACATACTGGTATCCATTTCCTGAGCTTTTACTTTCTGCAATAACCTTTGTTGTGGCAATTTATCAAAAGCCTGCAGGAAATCTAAGTACAGTGTATCCACTGGTTTCCTTTTATCTACAACACATACAACTTCCCCAAAGAACTCTGAAAAATAAGTCAAACCTGATGTCTCTTTCACAAAACCATGTTGACTCTGCCTGCTATAGCTTTTTTACTAATATTTTTCAACATTTTCCCGATAACAGATGTTAAGCCAACTGTCCTGTAGTTTCCTGCTTATGCTCTCTCTCCCCATTTTGGATAAAGGAGTTACATTTACTATTTCCCAATCTACTGGAACCTCTACTGAATGTGGAAAATTAAGCCCAATACATCTACCATCTCATTTACCACTTCTTTTGAGACCCAGGTACTCGATCACCATAGCTCCAATAATTTCCTCACAACCACTTCTCTGGTGATAGTAATTTTCCTGAGATCCTCCGTCACTTCTATTTCCTAACTTATAACACCGAGCCACCATGCTACCAATCTTCAGGCACTTACCAGATGTTCACCAAATAACACATGTCTTCTCCTCTAAAAGAACAAGAACCACTTCCTGGAGGTTGAAGCAAAGAGAAAAACACAATACAATGAGGCACCTCTTTCCTCTGTTAATCATGCAAATTCCAGTACTCGATTATATGTTGCACTAAATTGGCTAGCTTTATATGTGTCTAACACAAAATGACTCTTTCTGACCCAGTTATGGAGGATTAGAATTCACCTGCATCTTTCATTAACTGAGCAAAGCTGTTCTTTGAATGGACACCTTGTAAAAAATCCTTGCTTAAGGCATGGAACTTTAGAATTTGAATTGTTGATTTCAGTTCAAAGTTAATTTGAATGCTAACTGCAGACAAAATTTGTCCAAGAAAATTAGAACTCACGTACCCATCAATTGCTGGCATTCAATCCTAGGTCAAACTAATTTGGCCAATTTTAAATGTTCCTAATAGAAAAGTTCCTAATTACAGAAGAACTAGTTTCAGATGCTCTTTAATTAATTCAGACCAACTACTCTTTCAGTGCATACCTTATTAAAATGCTGCTTAAGGCTGTGAACTTTACAATTTAAACTATAAATTTTCAGTCAGTATGAAATACAAACAAAGTTAGGTTTATGGAAAAAGATTAAATCTTATCTTAACCACCCACTACAATGTGGAGGGGCCGGTGTTGGACTGGGGTGGACAACGTCAGAAGTTACTCGACACCAGGTTATAGTCCAACAGGTTTATTTGAAATCACAAGCTTTTGGAGCGCAGCCCCTTCGTCAGGTTCAGTGAGAGAGCAGAGTACACAAACCCAGAGTTTATAGGCAGAGAGATCCAGGGCTGAGAGACCAAAAGGCCATACAACTGATGTGAGTGGAGTGTCAGATAATAAGTCTGTGCAGGTGATGAAGAGCGTCAGATGGTGTGAGTTAAGAGTCAACAGCTGAATAACAAGCGAATGGGTGACCTATAATCCTATTGAATGAGGCAGAGAGACAATTAGAAAAAATTAAAAATAAGGTGGTGCTGGAGACAAACAAAATGACTAGAATAACACAACAGGTATAAGAGTCGGATGCTAAGGGTCTAACCAAAGTAATAAGTAATTCAAAACTATACAAACTAATTTAGGTAGAGAGATCATACCAATTTATCAAGGTGATGCTGTCAAAACAGGACAGTAACGAAGATTTTACAGATACAGAACAGTGTGGTAGGGTCACACGTAGCGCGATATGAACCCAAGATCACGGTTGAGGCCATCTTCATGGGTACGGAACTTGGCTGTCAGTTTCTGCTCAGTGATTTTGCATTGTTGTGTATCTTGAAATCAACCTTGGAGGATGTTTACCTGAAAATCGGAGGCTGAATGCCCTTGACTGCTGAAGTGTTCCCCGACTGGGAGGGAACATTCCTGTCTGGCAATTGTTGCGCAGTGTCCATTCATCTGTTGTTGTAGCATCTGCACGGTCTCACCAATATACCATGCATCGGCGCATCCTTGTCTGCAGCGTATGAGACAGATAACATTAGCCATGTCACATGAGTATCTGCCGTGTACGTGGTGGGTGGTGTTCCCACGGTCCGTCCCTCATACATCTCGCGTTGGGGACTTCAACTGGCTTCCAAAGATACACAAAATCAACACGCCTGGACATCCCATCATATCAGGCTATGGGACCCTGTGTGAGAACCTCTCTGGCTTTGTTGAGGGCATCTTGAAACCCATTAAACAAAGAGCCCCCAGCTTTTGTTCCGACAGTACAGATTTCGTACAGAAACTCAGCAACCATAAACCAGTTGTTGTTGGGCACAGGGAGTTGGATC